AACGTTTGAATCCTGGGGTCAGGGCTGGCTGTAGGGGTGGGCAGTCTGTGCAAGCCATGCTGCGGGGAACCTCCGGAGCAGGGGTGTCCTGTCCCTCCTCCCCCTGCTGCTCTTCAGCTGTCTGCAGCTGTTTCTGCTCCTGTCCAGGAGCGACAGAAACTCCCTAAAAGTGGGAGGGCTACTGGCGCCAAAACAGTGGCCCTGCTCCCCCGTGCCACCCCTTCCCCTGAAGCCCAGCCCTTGCCACCCCTTCCCCCCAAGCTCTTGCCCTCCCACTGCCGCTTCACCCTGAGGCCCTGCCCTTGCACTGTCTCTTCCCCCAAGATCCTGCCCCCGCTCGCTCCTCTCCGCCCCCTCTCCCCCATTGCACACCCTTACAGACAGTAAAAAGGGGGAGGGCATAGTCCTCTCCCTTTTAAAACTGATGGGGCCATGGTCCCCTGGTCCCCCCGTTCTAGTGCCCCTGCTCCTACCCCCTCACCTCCGCTTGGAGCTGCCCCTGGCCAAGCTGCTCCCAGGAGCCTCCTGTCTGCTGTGCCGGGGGGGTTGATGTCAGGGTGTCACCATCCCCCCACCCGTGTACCCAGTTTCCACTGAGCTGGGGTGAGCACAGGAGTTTGTGCTGCTTCCTCTGGTTCATGAATGGGAGCTGCTGGCCTCTGCTGCTGGGCTGAACAAGCTAGTGAGTGCTTAAAAAAGTGCGCTGTCTCTCACACTCTCCCAACACACACTCTGTCTCTCTCTGACACACACACACACACACACACTTCCCCAACACACAAACCCTGTCTTTCTCACATACCCACTTTCACACTCTCCCAACACACACACATTCTATCTCTGTCACACTCACTCTGTCTCTCTCACACTCCTCCAACACACACTCTCTCTCTCTCTCTCACACTCCCCCAACACACACTTGTATTATTGTTGTTGTTGTTGTTACTTCTTTGTATTTCCTGTCAAAATGCACAAGGCACATATATTCTCTGTAATTTTATTCTTTCAAAGTTCATTAAGGATTACAGTGCTCTTATTTTAGTTTTTTGACTGGTCTGTGCATTTCATACGTTTAATTTTCTCTTACGCTTAAATTTAATTCTTTGAGTAGTGAGTTCTAAAATGCCTAACCTGTCCTGGCTGGAGTAATTATCATTATTACTTTTATTATCATATTGTGCTTTGTCATTCATTATTTATTCATTATTATCCTCCTAGAATGTAAATTTAGCTTGTACTCCCCCCTTAACAGTGCCAGTTTAAAAAAAATTAGCTAGACACATAACTTTAGACTTTGTGCAGCTGAAGGTAGCTTATTTTCAAATTGTGTTTTTAGTTATATCTGTAAAATAACTTTAAAATTCGTATGAAAATAAATGCAGTTCCAAGTATGATATTAATAGCAATGATGGAGTCAAACGTTAGTGAGTCACATACATGATTGTGATTGGTAAACATAAATGCCAAAATAATTACAAAAATAAATTCCCATTCTTAATAAAAAAGAAAAAACCCTTAATCACGTATGTTAAAAATAAGTAAATATGTTTTTAGTGGAGTGAAAAACAATTGACTAAAATAGAGTAGATAATGGCAGTAACAGAGTGCGTCTGTTAGAGAAAGTAAGCAGATTTTAAAATTTTATTTATGTTTATTTATCTCTACTAAAGATAGTGTACAAAGTATCAAACTTGTATTTCTGATATCTATGTTAAAGCTTCATTACTGACACCTCAAGGCTTGGAATTGGGAATATTTTGTTGTATTATTTCCTGATTGTTCTAAATTGATATGTAAATTTAAAATGTGGCTTTAATTGAAGTTTGTATATATTTTTTCTTCCTTTATATAGGAATTGGATAGTGTCCCTGTCAGCTAATTCATAAGTTATTATCTGCAAAAAAACCTAGAGTTTTCAGGTGCCTAAGTAGCTCCTGGAATCACAGTTAAAGTTGCTCCCCATCCCTCAAAATCTGAAATGGCGCCCCTGGTGAGCCAGGAGTGGCCAGAGGGCTGGGGGAGGGCCATGGGCTCTGGCAAGATGCAACCCCTGTGTGACAGCACAAAACCCGCCTTGAGCCGCATGCTGAGCGCCAGGCACCACAAGCCACATCAGCAGCACAGCAGTAAGGGTGCCCATACACCATATACCATGCCATCCTTACTTCTGCACTGCTGCTGGCGGTGATGTTGCCTTCAGAGCTGGGCGCCTGCCCAGCAACCACTGCTCTCCAGTCGCCCAGCCAGTGCTTAATTTGTGCCGAGGCTGAGCTCTGGCACCTCTTTCAATACAAATTAAGCACTGGGGGGAGGCAGCGGGGCTCAGAGATGATGGGGGGGGGGGGTTAGGAGCCCAAGGAGCCTATGGGGACCAGGGGTGATGGGGGGGAACCAAAATACAAGTTCACCCACGGTGCCATTTTCCCTAAGGCCAGCCGTGCCTGGGGCTTTAGGCATGCCCCGAGGAGGAAAAAAAGCCCCTTCAGAGAAGGAGCGTTCTTTTCTCAGTGGAGGGAAGGCTAAAAGCTTCAGTTTATCAAACTCCCCACACACAAACCCCCACATTAAACTATAAAAGTGAAACTAGTAGAGAAAGAAAACTAAACTAGACTACAAGGAACAAGCAAGGTAAGTAGCTGTGCAAGCTCAACTGTCTCAGGCCGAGGCGGTTGACAAGGAACTGTGGGTGGTCTGTCTGTCACGGCCCTTTATACCATTGGTGTGGGGTACAAGAGTAGCTAGGGTGTATGCGGAGACCAAATGTGCATGGCTGCTGAAAATCTCCAATCAAAAGCACATGGGGGCATCCACACTTCAAGTGGATCACCCATAGGGACCTTACTCGAAGAAGGAAGTTTTAACTCAACCCATAACAAGGTTTAACCCAGCTCACAACAGTGTTATATCCTGGAAATGAAAGGTTCCATTCTGAAAAGCGAGTTTGAAAAATTGCATTGTGATATTTCATATTTATTGATTCTTGGTGACTTCCAGATAAAATCTGCTCACATTATAAGTAAAATGATGGGGGGATTTCTAACCCGCAGCCCTGTGGACTTAACCTGGGTTCTGAAAGGCAAGCTGGGTTCTTTTCTTGTCCTGTATCATCAACGGTATAGATTTTTCAAGCCTAATAATGTCCTTGGCTACAGTGCCATTGTCTTTACTGGATTTGCATGGACCCGTAATTGGAACTGAGTAAACTTTTCTGTAATTGGAACTGAGTAAATCTCTCTTGATTCACAAGAAGGACTAGAATCCAGCTCACGTTCTCAGCTATGTTTATCCCTGCAGGGATAATAAGATTAATAAAATCTTATTTTTGTCACTGAAGAAAACAAATTTGGTTTTGAATACCCATAGCAAAGATTCAAAGAAAGACAGTGCAATTTTTACACAGTCACTTTTCATAACAGAATCATAGTTTAAAGCCTAAGAAAAGGCTGGGCGTGGCATCTTGCGTGGTGCCCATCCAATAAATGCATGGAAAGAAATATTTATGCTTGGACAGGGATGCTATATTAGAAATAAATAAATTTGAATTCTACCTAGTTTAGGACCTCAATGTAAACTATGAGAATAAGGATATTCTAGCCCACATAATTAGCTGAACAGCCTCCCATATGTCACACTATGAGCTAGTGGTGACTCATAATAGCTATGGTGTATAACAATGGTGTATAACAATTACTGCCTCATTTTAGAATATTTTGACAGTTGTACTTTACAGTATGTTGAACATTATGCCTAATATTTTGAAATGAAATTTTTAAAAGAAAAGAGTCTGAGAGGCCCACCATCCCTTCTAATTCATACTGGTGCTACTACCTCACCATACAAAACTTCTCTCGGGTGCTCCAGAAAGCTACTGTTTGAGGTGGCAGAAGTACTGGTGTCAGAAAGGAATGTGCTACATAACTTTTTCTGGGCACTCACAGGAAAACTGGAGGGAAAGATTCTCTGTCCCAACAGGTAGAAAAGTAGGACTCAGGAGCTGCATCATAGATGTGAGTGAGGCCCCTCCAGAGACTTTTTTATTTTAAAGACAATGTCCTTCCAGTCCAGGCTTTGGACGTAAGGAGCATGGTTCCTACAGTTTTTCTGCTGAATGGAGTGAACTATTTTGAGTAAGAGGTAGGACAGAAGAGACTGAGTTGTATTAACAAGAACTGCTTTTAGCTACTTTTTAAATAAAAAAAAATGTAAACACAAATAAATTTCATTGGGATGAGCTGCACAGCAGAATCACTGAGTTACTCCTACCGCTGGAGTAACACAGTAGACTGGTCTCAAACAGAATATGCTGTAATGAGCCAGGAAGACTTTTCATTTATTTCAGCTAGTTATGGAACAATGGTGAATTGGTTTCCTTATCCCCTTTCACAATTACATAGTATAGGGTGAAGGACCTGGCTAAAACAGAAAGTGCCAGATCTCCAGGCAGGTGCTGCATTCAGTGCATCAGGGCAAGCTGTGGCATAGGTAGACTAAAATCTTGGGAGGTAGAGGGGGCTGAGGATCTGGGTGACAAAATTTTCATAAAAAGCCAGTGATTTCTTTACAAATGGACTGGCCAAATAGCCAAATGTTTGACAGTTTCATTCTGGATGCTTTCCTCTGTGAAATATAGGCACGAGGGGCCTCCAATACTCACAAAACATATTAAATAGTGAAATAAAAATGACAGAATCTCATCAAGTTAGCAACAGAGGGTCCTGTGGTACCTTTAAGACTAACAGAGGTATTGGAGCATAAGCTTTCGTGGGTGAATGCCCACTGCGTCTGACGCCATATGAAGTGGGCATTCACCCACGAAAGCTCATGCTCCAATACCTCTGTTAGTCTTAAAGGTGCCACAGGGCCCTCTGTTGCTTTTTACAGATTCAGACTAACACGGCTACCCCTCTGATACTTGACATCAAGTTAGCACTGGAGCTAATTTTGTGAAAGAGAAAAGCTAATTTTTATACCTGTGTCCCACAGGAAATATCACACATGATCTTATTTAATGGGAAAAGCAAAGTGCGGCCATTGTTTGAAACTACACTTACAGAGAAACCTTACTTATTGGATTTGGTCTTGCTGGCTTCGGATTTCTTTTGCTCTGGCTTCTTCTTACTAGAGAAATGGAATAGAAAGTGCCATTTGTCATTTTCAACTGTCAATTATTAACCCAACAGTCACAGCATTTATCTTTATATTGCATTGCTTTATACTCTGATATCAAAATTTCAAGGAAATGTTATTCTCATACTTAGAATGTCAAGTGTTGAACTTTATTTCTTAGTTTCACTGTTCCAGTGGAAGATAAAAAAGAAGTTTAAGTAACTGTCAGCAAATTTAGGTACCACATGTAGTTTTTCCTATGCCTAATGGACTCCAAAGTCTTGCCTCTCATAGAATGGGATGCTTTTGTTTTTTTGTTATAAGAATAAAACAATGTCTTGGTAGGAAAGTAATATGGTTCTGTGTGTGTGTGTAAACTGCACAAGTCAAGGGAGTTCTCTCTGTTCTATCTGAGCATCTAAGAGACACCCAACAAAAAGTGCCATCAAAGAAGACAAGCAATTACTGCCCCCAGAAACCTGAGGTTATCTCCTGAAGGTGCACAAGCAACCTGCAATTTGGATTCAGGTGGAGCTGGAAAAGTTATTGCAACCTCAACTAAGAGATAAATCTGGAGAAAAATGAAATTGGTGGGGGTGGCTGCTGGATGGCATTTATGGGGTAGGAGAGACTTATACACACATTACATCCCCACGCCCCTCTAACTACCCATGGAGCCCCTCCATTTCCAGAAGCAGTAGCTACTTCCCTCTCAATCCCCTAATTAATCTTTTAAAAACTTGGTTCTAGCCTCAGTTCTTTCCTGCCTCTCAAAAGAAATAAAAGCTGTTGAGGCCATTCTCTTATCCTGCTCTATTTTACCCCATTTCCCCTCCAGTGGTAATTCCAGCTAATTCTCAAAGCCCCCACTTTCCCAATTTCCTCCAACTCATTAGATTTGCTCCCCAACATACCACACAGCCTAACAAATTCTTCCCAGTTACCTCCTACAGCAAGCTACAGCTGGAGAGATAGCAGAGGATTGCAAAAAGGGCAAATATAGTACCCATCTATAAAAGGGGAATTATAAACCAGTCAGCTTAACTTCGGTACCCAGAAAGATAATGGAGCAAATAATCAATCAATTTTTAAGCACCTAGAAGAAAATAAAGTAATAAGCAACAGTCAACATAGATTTGTCAAGAACAAATCATGTTAAACCAATCTAATATCCTTCTGAGACAGGGTAATGAGCCTTGTGGATGGGGGAGAAGCAGTAGATGTGGTATATCTTGACTTTAGTAAGGCTGTTGATACTGTCTCATGTCACTTGCTCATAAACAAACTAGAGAAATGTAGGCTAGACAAACTTGCTATAAGGTGGGTGCATAACTGGCTGGAAAACTGTACTCAGAGAATGGCTGTCAATGGTTCACAATTGAGCTGGAAGGGCATATCGAGTTGGGGCCCAGGGGGTTCCTGGGTCTGATTCCATTCAACATCTTCATAAATAAGGCTAAGATTAAGTCACAGAGGTCATGGAAGTCACAGATTTCATGACTTCCAGAGACCTCCATGACATTTTCCGCTTCAGTCTCGGGTTAGCGTGGCTGGAGCTGTCAGCCAGCAGAGGCCCTGGACCTCTGAGCCACCGCGGGCAGCAGAGGGCCCCCGCAGCTTTCAGCTGCCATGGGTGGTGGGAGGACCCCAGAGGGAGCGTCAGACACAGTGGTGGCAGGTGCTGGACTCCCCCTTTACCTCCCGCAGCAGGGCTTGGGCTCTCATTTCCTCTGCCCCACCCTGTCAGCCCCATTTTGTCACCGTTATTTTTAGTAAAAGTCAGGGACAGGTCATGGGCTTCTGTGAATTTTTATTTAGTGCCCATGACCTGCCCCAGACTTTTACTAAAAATTACCGTGACAAAATTTTAACCTTATTCATAAATGATTTAGCTAGTGGCATAGAGAGTATACTTATAAAGTTTGTGAACGATACCAAACTGGGAGGGATTACAAGAGCTTTGGAGGACAGTAGTAGAATTCAAAATGATCTTGACAAACTGGAGAAATGGTCTCCATTAAATAGCATGAAATTCAATAACAACAAATGCAAAGTACTACACTTAGAAAGGAATAACTAATTGCACAAATACAAAATGGGAAATTACTAGGAAGGAGTACTGCAGAAAAGGATCTGGGGATTATAGTGTATCACAGTGGTTTTCAACCTGTGGTCTGCAGACCCCTGGGAGACCGCAGACTTTTACATCTAAGATTTCCAAAGAGGTCTGCACCTCCATTTGAAAATGTTTAGGGGTCCTCAAATGAAAAAAGGTTGAAAACCACTGGTGTATCACAAACTAAATATGACTCAAAAATGTAATACTATTGCAAAAAACATGAACATCATTCTGGGATATCTTAGCAGGAGTGTTGTAAGCAAGACATGGGAAGTAATTCTTCCGCTCTACTCCGTGCTGATAAGGCCTCAAACTTGAGTACTGTGTCCAGTTCTGGGCTCCACACTTCCAGAAAGATGTGGAAAATTGGAGAACGTCCAGAGAAAAGCAACAAAAATTATTAAAGATCTAGAAAACATGATCCATGAGGAATGATGGGAAAAAATGGTTTGTTTAGTCTGGAGAAGAGAAGACTGAAGGTGGACATGATAACAGTCCTCAAGTACATAAAAAGTTGTTATAAAGAAGAGGATGATAAATTGTTCTCTTTAACCACTGAGGACAGGACAAGAAGTAATGGGCTTAAATTGCAGCAAGGGAGATTTTGGTTAGACAGTAGGAAAAAATTCCTAACTGTAAGGGTAGTTAAGCACTGGAACAAATTACCTAGGGAGTCTGTGGAATCTCCATCATTGGAGGTTTTTACAAACAGGTTAGACAAACACCTGTCAGGGATGGTCTAAATAATATTGAGTCCTGCCTCTGTGCAGGGGACTGGACTAAATGACTTATCACGGTTCTTTCCAGTTCTACATTTCTATGATTCTATGTTAATCTAGGAATGCCCAGATGGTTAGTATGCTAGGACAAAAGCTGGATAAATGGTTAGGATTTATTGGACTCCAGAGATTTCTTCACATAACAACCCAGATAATGAGCAAGTAGAACTACTGCTTCTTCAAGGGGCTTACTTGCAAATTTGAAGGAACAGTGACAGCAAGAAATTAGTGTTCTTTTACCCCTGGAATACGAAATAGCACTACTAAGGTCAAATATAGAGTTAAGGAGCCTGTTTATAAAGAAGACCCAGGATTCCATCCGCGGAGGGAAGTCTGAAATATCAAGTTCAACACTTGCTTTGAAGCTGTGGTTAAGGAAGCTTAAAAACGATAATCTGAAGCTGTTCAAGATGTGGAGCCAAGTCATGATGCTTTTCAGTTTCCACTGAGGATATTGGACAGTACTAATGCAGCTTCCAAATATTTAAAGCCCTACTGAGCAAAGTAAAAACTTCTTGAGGAATTACCAGTGACCCCTTATCTTTCTAGGTTGCTTCTTGTCCTTCTTGCCTCCCTTCTGCTTATGGCTCATCTTTTGCTTTCTTTTTTCTGTCCTCATTCTTCCATCTCTTCTGTACCATACGGCCATTTAAAACAACATATATAGAGAGAATTCCTTACTCTTCCCAATAATTAATTAATGTTGTACAGTACTTTGATTATATAAAGAGCTATGCAAATACCTGAAAATATTCTCTCCCCAATGAAATTATTTAAAAGACAATAAAATCTGCTGGGTGCTTAATTTACATAAGAACAACCACACTGGGTCAGACCAATGGTCCATCCAGCCCAGTATCCTGTCTTCTGACAGTGGCTGGTATCAGATGTTCAGGAAATGAACAGAACAGGGTAATTTTCAAGTGATCCATAGTCCGGTCCCAGCTTCTGGCAGTCAGAGGTTGAGGGACACCCTGCACATGGGGTTGCATCCCTGACCACTTTGGCTAATAGCCACTGATGGACCTGTCCTCCATGAACTCGTCTAATTCTTTTCTGAACCCAGTTATACTTTTGGCCTTCCGAACATCTCTTGGCAATGAGTTTCACAAGGTGACTGTGCACTGTGTGAAAAAGTACTTCCTTATGTTTGTTTAAACCTCCTGCCTATTAATTTCATTGGTTCTTGTGTTATGTGAAAGGGTAAATAACACTTCCTTATTCACTTTCTTCGCACCATTCATGATTGTATAAACCTCTCCTTAGCTGTCTCTCCTAAGCCCCAGTTTTTTAAATCTCTCCTTATATGGAAGCTATTCCATACCCCTAATCACATTTGTTGCCCTTCTCTGTACTTTTTCCAATTCTAATGTATCTTTTCTGAGAAGGGCTGCCCAGAACTGCACTCAGTATTCAAGGTGTGGGTGTAGCATGTATTTGTATAGTGGCATCGTATTTTCTATCCCTTTCCTAGAGGTTCCTAACATTCTGTTAGCTTTTTTGACTGCCGCTGCACATTGAGCAGATGTTTTCAGAGAACTATCCACAGAGAATGACTCCAAGATCTCTTTTTGAAGTGACTACAACTATTGTAGACTCCATCACCTTGTAGGTATAGTTGGGATTATGTTTTCCAATATGCATTACTTTGCATTTCTCAACACTGAATTTGATTTACCATTTTGTTGCCCCAACACTCAGTTTTGTGAGATCCCTTTGTAACTCTTCAGTCAGCTTTGGACTTAACTATCTTGAGTAATTTTGTATTGTCTGCAACTTTTGCCACACCTCACTATTTACCTCTTTTTCCAGCTCAGCACAGGGCCAAGTACATATCCTTGGGGACCCTGCTATTTATCTCTGTCCATTGTGAAAACTGACTATTTATTCCTTCCCTTTATCTATTAACCAATTAGTGATCCATGGGAGAACCTTTCCTCTTATCCCATGGCTGCTTACTCTGCTTAAGAGCCTTTAGTGAGGGACCTTGTAAAAGGCTTTCTGAAAGTCCAAGTACACTATAGCCACTGGATCACTCTTGTCCATATTTGTTGACATCCTCAAAGAATTCTAGGCGAGACAGGATTTCCTTTTACAAAAGCCATGTTGACTCT